AGACCCTGTCTCAAAAAGACCAGGGGTGGGGGGAGAGAGGGAGGGGGAGGGAGGGAGAGGGAGAGAGGGAGAGGGAGAGAGGGAGAGGGAGAGGGAGAGCCCCAGAGAAAACTAGACAGGGAAACATAACTACAGAGATGGGAAGGATCAGGGCAGGGGCGGTGTGTCCAATCAGAGGTCCACACAGACCCAGGAAAAGAGGGAGCAGGCAGGAAAACTCGAGGCAAAGGGTGGAAGACAGCAAGAGACTGAGGCAGGGAGACTTGGAGAGCTTGGATCAAACTGATTCCCCAGAAAAAGGCAGAAGTGGGGTGAAGGAGAAAAATGTAAGGCAGAGTGAGCCCCTTCCTCCACACTTCACCTCCTCAGTCACAGCAGGCTGACCCTGGAGGAGACCTTGCTGTCCTGCTCCTTAGCACATGGATGAGGAAACTGAAGTGACTTGTAGGGCACACTTTGAATCAGTGGCAGTACCCGGATTCAGGCAAGCTCCCCTCAGGTCATATCCCCTCCTTTGCTCCGATCTGACTATCTTAGAAACAAGCTGTGCCCAGCTGTGGCCCTGGGCACACATGAGCCAACACCTAAGGGAAAACTTTCTTTCCTGACATAGGGTCCTCCTTGGGTCAGCACAGGGTACTGGGAACTGGCTGAAAAAGCCCAGGCAGGTAGCCAAGGCCACCTGCTCCATCCTGACACCCATGATCCTTGTCCTGCACCAGCAGCCCTAGCAGGACTTGGGTTGGACTGTGAAGACAGACAATACAGGATGCTACCTTGAGGCACCGCACAGGACTGGGATCTAGCTCACATAGGGTAGATGGGGTCCTGATTCGGTGGTTCACTGACAGACTGGATGAATTGGGACAGAGGCTTTCTCTGCATCCGTTCTTCATTCGTTAACATGGGACTGTGGTAATGAGAGGGAACCCACCAGTGGGAGCCCAGGCAAAGTGTTACTGCCCCTCTCAGAGCCTCTTGTCCTTATCTCTTCCATGAGTTGTCATGGCAGATGATCCCCTGGGCCTTACTCAGCTCCAAACATCTCTGGACATGGATAGGCTGAGTGAACAGAATGATTGGAATGCAAATCCCAGTGCCAAGGAGGGTCAAACAGTCCTTCACGGGACCCTGGCATAGGCCATGCAGAGAGACATGGAAGAGGCCCAAGACTTGTGGCTCAGGAGGCAGGCAGCATGTGTGTGGGGGGTCACCATCTGTCACATCCTGGTCTGGCCTGTTACTGCCAGACACCAATCTTTCTCCTAAAGCACCTCAGAAGTGCTACCAGCTCATTCAGTCCTCAGCCTCAATTCATTCCACGAGGACTCATGTAGCATCTGCTTTGTGTTTGATTGGATATGTTACATCCATGATCTCAGTCTTTGGACCTCAAAGGTAGGTCTGGTTATACTAAGAACTATTTTATAGATGGAGAAACTGAAGCTAAAAGGCAATGCAATCACCCAGGGTCACTAAGCTGAGAAGAGACTTCCATCTGCTTGCTTTCCAAGCCCATGCTCTTCTCCTTGACTCCTTGAGTCTCATTTTTTTTTTCATTTATAAGATAGGTTTCACCATTATACTAATTATATTCACCTCCTGTGTAGTTGGTTTTAATGATGCAAAGGAAACCACATGTATGCAATGAGAAAATATGAGGTTCTCTGATGACTTTTCCTCCCTTTAGACTCAGGTATCTGAACTGCAACCTGTCTGGAGGGCCCTGACCTCATAGCACCTCATCCTCTCTCCTGACAAAGGAAGGTTTTTTATTTTTGAAGGAATGAACTATCTTACCCTGGCCTTGAATGTAGCCTCTTGAGGCTCTCTCCCCATGGTGTTCTCTGGCTGGCTAGTCGAAGTGACATGCCCTTCCCAGGTTCCCAAGAGTGGGCTACAAATTCATCTCAGTGTGCTTCTGATGTGCTGGTTCCTCATCACAATCACTCTAGAAGCCAGTGTTGCCAAAGTCTGTGTGGATGTGCTAGCAGTAGCTTTGCTGAACCTGAACTTCAGGGGAAGAATGCTGGGTCCAGGGTTTGCCAGCTTCTAAGTGCCAACCCAGACTGCTATGCAGATGAAAGGCCACATATGAGTGAAAGAGCTTTGGGAAGGTAAAAGCACTGTCTTTGGGGGCAAGACATTTATTAATTATGATAGAACTTGTTCTCCCAGTTCTTGAGAACTAGAAGGACTCTTAGAGATCCTCTCGCTCAGCCTTCTTATGCTACAGATGAAGAAACTGAAGCCTGGAGGGTAGAGGGGACAGGTAAAGGTCTTGCTGAGAGCGAGAGGGGAGTGAGGATAATGTAGCACTCATTGTATAAGGGACCAGAACACCTGTCAGAGCCTTCCCTGAGTTCAGGGGGGCAGCCTGGTTCCCCCCCACCCCCCACCTGTCTCCATTTTTTCTCTTGTGGAGGGAGGGCTGGGATGGAGGAGACATATTGGTACATTCAAGGTTTCTGCACAGCCCCAAGGAATGCAGGCAGGATCTCATCCTCTTCCTGCCCTGCTGACCTGTATTATGTTGTGCCAAAGGCCTAGTTGCATACCCAGTTCCTTTCATCCAGGACCCTCAGACCTGCCCACACCTGATCACAGTCAACCTGTCTCTGCATTGTACTTAAAGCAACAGCCACTCTCTCCCCTGTGCCTTGAGTTGCACATCCCTTTGTGCAGAAAGGATTTAGACCAGAAAATGTCAACACGCCTTTCACTTATAACATCCCATGACCTTCCTGGCCTTGTTCCGTCTGTTTACTCAGTCCTCTGGAGAATTAGGCAAACAAGGAATGGTCACTTCTTTGAAGACTAGTTTCTGAGGAAAGAAACAGCAACAGAGTTAGTGTAAATTATACAGAATTTATCATTAGCTGCCATATTTTATTGTGTTCTAAACATTAGACACAGCCATCTTCCAGATAACTTGCCACTCCATTCATCTATAAGCTCTGAACACATCTGAGTTCTCCAGTGCTTCATGTGACTCCTAGAGCTCCCATCAGCTACATGCTGGCACTTTGCCTTTTCCATCTCCTGTTGACCTCCTGTTCAGGCTTCAAGACCCAGCTCAATGGCCACCCTCTTCATGAAGCATTTCTCAGATGCCGCCATCAGAGCAACCAGCTCCTTTGTGCCTCCATGGTTTCCTGTCTGGCTTCAATTTGGCTGGCTCCTCCTCTTGCCAAGTAGATTATTTGCTCTCATGTCTTCCCTACTGGTTTGATATCTTTTCCTAGATGGAGACTCTTCTTAAACATGCTTATCTTGGGGGCTGGAGAGGTGACTCAGGAGTTAAGAGCACTGATTGCTCTTGCAGAAGACCTGGATTCGATTCCCAGCACCCACATGGTGACTAACAACCACCTGTACCCAGTTCCAGGAGAATCGAATACCTTTATCTGACCTCCATGGGCATTGCACACCTCTCATGCACTTACATACATGCAGGCAATATATGCATACACATAAAATTTAAAAAATAAAATATTTTAAAACATGCTAATCTTCTCATAGTGCTTTGCACATCAGATCTGCCCTACACATTTCCTTAGGTCCTTGGGGGCACAAGAAAGGCCTGGAACAGTCCTGTCCCTAAAGTGTTGGCAATCAGCAATGTAGGAAGTAGAGGGACTCAGAAAGCTAAGTCCCAGGTAGAAAACCCCCAGCTCCTGTGCCTGTAGACAGACACTTCTCAAGTTGGAGCAAGTTTTACCAGAACAAAGAACATGTGAGAGAACAAATAAGATGTTAGTGTTTGAAGGGTCAAGCAAGCATATTGTGGATTTAATGGAGGGCATTGAATTGATGGTCCAGAGGTCTGGACTTCAGTGCTAATGCTGCTGGGTAGATTGGGAGCCCTCTCTATACCTTAGTTTCCTTTTCTGAAAAATGAAAGTGCTAACCATGTGCAAAGGAACTTCCGGCTCTGGTGCTCTTGGATAGGAATGAGACATGTCCTTTGATCAACAGTGCTTATTTTTCAATGGTCAAGTATAAGGGCTCGGAATGGGGACAAAGAGACCCATCTGTCCATTGCTTCTGAACCCTGCTGTATAGGCAGTTTGGTTGGAGACTGGGGCAGGAGCAGTGAGGGAGGGAGTGGAGAAGCTGACCTGGAGTCAGACCAAACTGGTTCAAGGCCTGACTCATCAGTTATGAGCTAGTCTAGAGCCTCAGGGGAAGTTCTGGTTTGTCCTGTCCCAGAGAGACCATAAGCCCCCTCAGGGGAGGGATAGACCTTGCTTACCACATACCTACAGTTTTAGCACAGCAGCCAATGCATAGAAAGGGTTCTGCAAACCTTCCTCAAGTCCTTCCTGCTGGCCTTGCTCATCTAGGTGGGTTGGCAAGGCCTGGGGATTCAGAGGAGCAAGCAGAGGCAGAGGAAGGGGTCCAGAACCATCCCAATATCAGCCAGGGGCAGGCTGGAGAAGGAGGAGGATGAGGAGGAAGATGAGGAGAATAAGGAGGACAAGGATGAGGACAAGGAGGACGAGGAGGAGGAGGACCGCCAGGACTCAGGAGCAGCAACAGAAAAACAGGCATTGTCTGTCTGTCACAGAGCACTGCCTCAGAGTCATGGCC